GCTTGTATCAACGAGTTCATCTGTAGTACTTCCTTTACTTAAGGAGGCCACAAAATGAATTGGAAGATGCTTGCAAAGGTATCCGGGATGGCGTGCACGTGCACAAACAGTATATGCATGTTTATAGACCTAACCATCTCTTAGTAAAAATAATATACTGTACTTCAAGTCCGGCTTACACGTACGGTTTCTTTGATATACTTGTGTATGTTGATGTGCATGAATGTATGGACATGTTTCAACAATATCATTTTGCAAGTGTGTGAAATTGGCTCCTGACTACCCACTAAGACACGCGTACGCATCTGTCTGCTGGTGTGCGTAGTCTACTCTTGGATGTACATAGTATGTGTATGAATTTCTGTACATGGGTGTTTCGGTAGACACTACCTTGGCTCAATTCTGTTTATGTTCTTGTATGTTTTATACCATGCACATGTGCACACCGGTAGGCAAGTAGCGGTGCACACTCTTTGCCAACCAGACTGTGAAGGCATATTTATCTTTCCTCGTTGTCATTGCTGATTTGGGACGAGCTTATGAAAGTGGTGTGTTGTACATACAGTAAACGATGTAATTCCAAGATTTCCGTGGTCTGTTTTCTTCTATCTGGCCGCCTTTCATCTTACCCCATCGCTTGAGATGTTTGGTTTAGAGATTAGGTGTTCAAGCTAAACAGGTCAAATGACTTTTCATGACTAGAATGGTAGTACATGTACTTGGCATATTTCCTTGCTTCACAATAAACATATTCAGTTTTGTTTTATATAACAAATTCAGTTTTGTTTTGTATAACACATTCAGTTTTGTTTTGTGTATAGGTGCCGCTGCAGAGAAACCCGAGAGAGCTCCGGCGGATACAGAAGGAGAATCGGCGCAAGAATCCCGTGTTGAAGAATGCCCACGTGTTCGAAACCACGTCACAGTACTCCAAATCACGCAGTGTAGCTCTCGTGGCTAAGGAAGGTAGGTAATGACGCTGTCCATCTGTGCGTACACATAAATAGACCCTTCGTAAAATATCTAAGTTCGTTTTTCGAATCACTGCACTTGTGTATGTATACGTTAATGTTGATCTCATCCCCAAGAAAAGAGTGTAGAGGCGGCTAGATGGCAGGTGCGCATGTTTCTGATTCTTTTTCATCATATATATATATATATATAGTAT